CACAACAGTTGCCACTTTGCCGACACCGCAGCTCGTTGAGACTCATGTGCTGGGAGCCATCAGGGCAGGGCCACGTGTGCACGTGCTGAGCCCCACAGACCCCGGAAATGACGGCATCTGTCCGCGGCCTCCTACCGGAGGGCCTCGGACTCTGAATATTCTGGAAGGAGCAAAAGAACCAGGAAAGCAAAACAAAGGGCATCCAGGCCCAGGAACTTTGCTCCTGCAGGGCTGGAACCCAGACCAGCTCCAGGGAAAGGACACTTGACAAACCCGGGAAATTCCAGCAGGACAGAGGGGCCCTTCCCGGTAGGGAGGTGGGGACCCCAGGTGCGACCCCTGTCTTTATTCTCGCACTTCCTGGCTCGGCTTGACTTCCTCTCCTTCCCCGCACCACGCAAATGAGGCAGACCTTTGTGTGTGTGTGTGTGTGTGTGTGTGTGTGTTAATTGTAGATAAGTGGGCGCCAAGTGCCTCTTGATTTTGTAACCCTCAGAGAAGGAGAAAGAGTGGGGGGAAAAAATTTCCTGTCACTGTCATCTGTTCATTTTTAATGAGCAATTTTAAAAAATTGAAAATAAAAGAGGAAAATGAATAGGTGTTGAACCAGCCCGTGATATGTAAATGCCAACTAGTAATTACCTAAAACCTCAATTTTCATTCTGTTTCATCTTGCAAAACATTTCATTTTCCCCGAGTGAAAACACTTCATTTGGGCTGTGTGAGTTAGCGGGGCGGCCGCCCGGCCTGCGCCCCCGCGGGCCCCGGCTAGGGGGCGCTCTGGCTCTGCTCCGGGGCGGCCGGCGGGCGCGTGTCCACCTCAAGGTTATCCCCGCTCCCTCCCCCGTGGCGCTGGCTGGGCCGGGGAGCCGGGCTGCCGTGTCCTTGCGAGGAGCGTATTGAATTTTGGCTGACCGAGGCTCCCTCTGCATATTAACTTTCCCGGCCCCTGCCTGTTGGAGCCGCTTTCAGCCTCCGCGAGAGCAGCTTCCCGCCCGCCCTGCCCCCTGGAGACTCCGGGCACGGTGCTCTGTGTGTGCATGTGTGTGTGTGTGTGTGTGTGTGTGTGTGTGTGCGCGCGCGTGCAGCCGGCGGCATCACCTTCTTTCACACGCACTGAGGTTCTTCTTTGCAGGGTTCCCGGGCTGCATCTAGGAACGAGGCCCGCCTGGTCGGGCGTCCCTGCTCCCGGGGCCGCCGCAGCCCGTCCCCCAGGTAGACGGCAGGGAATCCGGGACGCCCCGACCCCTGGATGCCCGAGCGGCGGAGAAGCGGGGTTCCCCGGGGCCGACGGGCAGACCCACACTGCCCAGGCCCCCCGAGGCGTGCGCCCCCGCCGCCTGGAGCCCGAGGAAGGCGGCCTCTTTAGCGAGATCTATAGCTTCATAATTAGCCCGTTGCATTTTTTTCCCCGAGTGCTGGCATCAGCGTTCTGCGATGTGTTTCTCTGATTAACAGCTGCTTTGCAACTATTTCCTTGTGCCACGGATGACCATATTGTCAGGGAGCTTCTGACAGGGCCCTGATTTCTTACTGAGACGCAGCGTTCCTGTGCGAAGCGGGCGCGCTCCTCCGGGCAGGGCCCGCTGAAGCGCCGTGCGGGAGTTCGGGAGTGCGTCTCCCCACGGGCCAGGCCTCGCCAGTGGCCGGGTACAGCGCCGGGCGGGGGACGCCCAGTGAGACTCAGGTGGGGCCACCCTCAGCGCAGAGCCCAGATGGGGACACTCAGCGTGGAGCCTCCCTCCCCCTCTCTCTCCCTCCATGCTCTCTCTCTCTTTCTGCCTCCATCCCACCCCGTCTGCCTCTCCTTCCTTCTCTCTCCCTCTCCCTCTTTCCCTCTCTCTTTTTCTCTTTCTCTCTCTCTCTCTCCCTCCCTCTCCCCCTCTCTCCTCTTCCTCTCCCTCCTTCTTCCCTCTCTCTCTTCCTCTCTCTCTCTTCCTCTCTCTCTCTTCCTCTCTCTCTCTCAGTGTGGCACACGCTCAGGTGGGGTGAGGCGGCCGGTGCTGTCTTGGGGACAGGGACGCCGTGGCCACCCCACGTGCGACCTGCCCCTTCCCCCTTTGCACCCGACACTGAGGCCAGAGACTCAGCCTGGTTTCATGCGGCTGCTGGAACACACTTGTAGCCCACAGACAGTCACGTTCAGCCCTAACGGGAAATCTGGTGATGCCCAGGCCAGGCTGCAGGCACCGTCACTGCCCAGCGAGAGTGTGTGGGGCTCCCAGGGGCCAGTGAGCGGGTGAGGGGACAGGTGCCAGCGTGCTTGGTGGGGAGTGACCGAGCCTGCCTGTCCCCATCAGCTTTATGCTCAGGCACGTGTGTGTGTGTGTGTGTGTGTCTGTGTCTGTGTGTGTCTCTGTGTGTATGTGTGTGTGTGTCTGTGTATGTGTTTATGTGTGTGTCTGTGTGTATCTGGGTGTGTGTCTGTGTGTCTTTGTCTATGTATGTCTGTGTGTATCTGTGTGTCTGGGTGTGTCTCTGTGTGTGTGTGCGTGTCTGTGTGTGCGTCTCTGTGTGTCTGTTGTGTGTGTGTGTCTGTGTGTGTGTCTGGGTGTGTCTGGGTGTGGTCTGACCCCCTGCACTTGGATCCTGGGTGCACAGATACTGGGTGCCACAGGCCTTTCCACGGGCTGGGCGGCCTCTGAGCCGACTCCGGGGAGAGACACACTCGGGCCGAGGCGGCGGGAGGCTGTCCACTGTAGGGGCCCGTGTGAGGCGCCTCTCACCGTCTCCTTCTTATTCAGCACATTAAGTTGGACTGTTAGTTTGGAAGGTTTATCTTTTTGCATCTGGCGTCACGATATCGATGCTGTTAAATATGTGATTTGCCTGTCATCCGCATTTTCCGACCAAGATCAAGAGGAGCATAAACAAGTCCGGGATATGCTTTATGTAGGTGCTTGGCGGTATTATTGTATATGGCTTGAAATTAGTGAATGGGAACTTTAAAAGAAATTGTCCATATTTTTGCAAGTTTGAAGTGTGCCGGGACTTTGTCAAATTCCCGTTAAAATAAATACGTCAATTTCCTCTCCCTTCCGAATTCATTTATCTTGCTTTTTTAAAAGGTGTTTTCTACTTTACCTGCCGCTTAAATCGGATCCGCTCGTCTCTGCTGTTCTCTGCGCTCCCCCCACGTTCTCCTTAAATGAATTACTAATGACAGAGCCCTCCATCACTGCCTCTCTGCAGCCACTTTAAGGAAAGCCTGGTGATCTAAACCTTTTAACCTATTAAAGATGATTTTTCCCAATTGAATCAGACCCACCACAGGTGTAATAACTAATCATTTAAACTACACCTGCTATTATGTATTTTTAAGCCATTATGCGTGTTGGATAGATGATAATTCATGTTTATTGCATTGTCCGATGGATCCGTTTTGCCTACACTAGGCTGATTAATGTATTTAAAGAAATAAGAGATGCAATTTTTAAAAAAAAAAAATTGATGGAATGCGCCAAGCACTGCATTGAGTGCGCCATTAAACCCATCAGAACTTTGCTCTCTGACCAGAAATGCATATACCAAGGACCGGATTCAGAAAGCAAGGTGAAACCCGGGCGTTTTAGTGGTGGGATTCTGTTTTCTTTCTCTGGCGTGGAAAATTTTGGAAGCGGGGAGGAGTGGCCCCCGCGGCTCACGCTGCTGGCGTCCACCGGCCCTGCCGCTGCCTCCGACGCCTCCGCCGACGTCCCCGCTGGCCGCGGTGCCCCTGGCGAGGGTCCCCCTCGCCTGCCCTGCGCCCACGCCGCCGCCCTGCCCAGCTGCCCTCTCTGCCGTGTGCCCGTGTCCCTCCTTCCCCCATCCCTGTCTTCCTCCCTGTCCCCCCTCGCAGTCACTCCACTCTTCGTGGAGGGGTTCCGGCTCTCATGGAACGAAAAGGTTCTGCACTCGCCAGGCCTCTGGGGTCTCTCGGCACAGGTGGCCCCGACCTTCGAGTCGGTGAGCCTCCCGTGACACGGGGACAGGGCCTCCGCTCACGGCTTGTGTTGGTTCTGCATCACCCTCGGCCCAGAGCTTCCGCCCATACCAGAGGGGAACGTCTGGAGCAGAGGGGGTCAGTGGGTCCCACCTGCTTCCATCCGTCGGTCCAGCGCCCCCCTGAGCTTGACCTTCCTCATGTCTGTCTGGCCCCTGGAAGTGTTTGCTCTCGAGGCTCTGCCTAGCCTGTTGACTCCCCTGTAACCCGAGACTGCAGCACGCCCAGGTTTGTGGGGGTGCATAATGCCAGCCCCTCCCAGCAGGGCAGCCCCGTTCTGTCCCCTCGGCCTTGGCCCCAACAGGCTGCGCAGCCCCACGCTGAGTGAGGTGCCGCTGACGCCTTCAACAGGTCCCCCCATCCATAACCGCGGCTTCATCCAGTCACGCTATAGCCCAGGCTGCCGGCTAATCTGTCCCCCTGTCGGCTTCCAGCCGGGCCGCCCCGAACTCTGCCCGGGAAAGGCCAGTGCCGCTCCCCTGCCCGGGAGGCCCGGCTGCTGGTGCGCCCACACCCCCCCTGCCCGCAGTTCCCGTGTCAGGCGCCTGCCGCGTGGCCCGGAGCCGCCAGAGGAAGACAGCCCAATTATGCCTTCAGTTCCACGGCAAAGGCTTGACGAGAGCAGGGGGGCTGGGTGGGGACCAGAGGGGGCTTGTTGATTCAGGGATGGCTTCAGGGGGCTGGCACAGGTCGCAGGAGGGCTGGCGGGTGCCCGCGCGGGCACGTGGAACACATAGATGGGCAGAGCCCCCAGGGAGCTGCTGCAGGGGTGTGTGTCCACTGGGGCAGGGGGAGTGGGGGGAGGTGCGGTGGTCCCGGTGACCTTGGGTCAGTGGGGTCGCCCCGGGCTTTGTGCAGGTGTAAAGATCAGAAGGAAACCCGCACCACGATTCGGCTACTGCAGCGGCCAGCGCTTGCCTCTCCAGGCCGGGCCTGGAGGGTTTTTATTTTTTGCACCTTGGAGGGTGGGGACTCCGGGAGCTCACTGTTCATCTCCGTTTTTGTCTCCCCGCCCCAGATCGCCACCGCGGTGAAGTTTCTGCAGAATTCCCGGGTCCGCCAGAGCCCGCTCGCCACCAGGAGAGCTTTCCTGAAGAAGAAAGGTAGGGCGGGCCCCTGGCCGGAGGGCAGGGCCAGGCGTGCCGCTGGCCAGCCCCAGGGGCAGGGCCTTCTCGGGACCTTGCTCCGGCTGCACGGCCGAGGGCTGTAGATTAGGGGGTCCCTCAAGAACGAGGAAGAAAGAAATGAAGGACGAGGGAAATACAGGATGGAAGAAGGTCAGGTGAAGGTCAGGCCCCGGGCCCGTCAGCTTTACGGATTGAAGTGGTAAATTACTGGTTTTATGGCATTTCTGGAAGCAGGGATTAAATGGGTCTTGACAAATTCAATATTGTCTGTTGAAATTTAGGACGTTTTTCTTTTTTTTTTTTTTTTTTGTAACACACACACACACACACACAAATCCCCAAACAAAGACATCCGACCTTTTGCTGTTTCAGAGGCAAACTTTTTAGAAATCTGGGAGGTTGTTTCAAGGCCCTGCGCACAGTTACGGCAGGAAAGCTCATTTTCTTCTCCGCCCCCAACCTCCTTGGTGCAGGATTGCCACCTCAAATCTCCCGGGTGGGGCTCTCAGCCATTTGGGGCCTGGATAGAACATGGGGGTGGGGGGCTTGGTGACTCCAGGTCCGAAGTGGGCCTGGACCCCGGCTAACATGCCCCAGTGTGGGGTCAACAGGCGTCCTCCCCCCACACACTGTGTGCTCGTCGGGGGGGAGCCGGGGCATCCTCCAGTGGACGCCCCCTCCCCCCATCACTCGGAGATTATGAAAATTTGGAGTGCCTCGGCCGGCCACTCCACTCCACCAGCGTCAGGCTGTAAAGGAGTTTTTCCTTGAAATATGTGTGCCTACGGGGAGTAATTAATCACCAAGGCTTGGGGATTTCGGCGCTCTCATCAGAGCCCGAGGCCGGGGGAAAACTGAGCCTAAAAGCTGTGCTGATTACCCGGGAAACCTGAGCCCATCGAGCGAGGGTTGCCCAGAGATCCTGTGCCCCGCGCCTCGTAGCGCGGTTCCATAACTGCCTGATCTCCTCCTGCAACCGACAGCGACCAGTTAGGCCTCATTTTCTCTCACACGCAGCTGGGGTAGAATTTCATTTGCAGAAGGTATTTAGAGCAATTTAGAGACAAATGTCTCTGGTGTTTGCTCTGCACTTCCCCACCGCAGGCTTTGCTGAGCAGTTTAGTATCAGGAGCTCCATCTAATCTGTTTAATTTTAATAAATCCCTGGCTGGGAGAAGGAGAGGGAAAGGGAGCGCGCGAGAAACTCTGTACCAAATATTGCTGCTTCTGAGTTCGTGGGCCAACGGCCGCCGCGGAGAGGTGCGCTTAGTCTTTGTTGCGCCTTTAAAAAAAAAATCAACAACCACCAAGAACAACAGGGTAGTCGCCTCAGTCATTTGTCTGGATCCCCGTGCTCACCGTTCCCGGTTTGGGGGTCCAGGAGCTCTGGGAAAGGCCCCCAGCCCCGAGCTGGCCGCCCCGATCGGGGACGAGTGCCAAGCACGTGGCCCACGGCTGCGGCTGTGGCGGGGAGCGACCCACGTGGCCAGCTGCTGCAGTGGCTGGCGTGAGTGATCAGGGCTGGGCAGAGCCCCCCGGACCCCTCGGGCAGGCGCACGCGCTGCTTCCTCCGTCGGAACCGCAGCTTCCCCGAGGCCCGGCGCGGAGAGTGTCTGGCCTTAATCTCCCGTCTCCATTATCCTCTGAAACGCCTCAGTCAGTAATTATCCATTTCCGACTCGAATCCCACTAGAGTCAGTCCTGCCAGGACCTTTTCTGGGCAGAGAATCCCGAGGTTTGATCAGCGTCGGGGGAGGCAGAGCCCCTCCGTGGGGTTAAACTTCACTCCTGTCGTTTCCGGCCGTGCTCCGTGGGGCCTGGCGCCCTCCCCGTGGGCTGCGGGTGGGACCCCCCCCTCGGGTCTGGGGTGGGGGTCGGGGGGGCTGCTTCTGTCACCTTCACTCTCCCTCGCAAACGTCACTTCAGGGAATCGCCGAGCGGTTGCGCTGACTCGAATTATGGTCTCGACTTTCTTTCTTTTTTTTTTTTCCTCCCTCTTTTTAATAAACATCTCTTTCCTGAAAAGGCAAATCCAATTTTGTTTTTCTTTTAAGATTATTTAGTATTTAATACAGGGATCGAGGTCCCTGCAGTGCACGTCGGTTCAGCGGGGACGAGGGCTGCTGTCAGCGTCGGCCGAGTATTTCACAGTTTCTGACGGGGCCACGGCCCTGCTCCCGGCCGGGGGCCCAGGGGTCCTGCAGGCCGGGCGAGGGGGCGGGGTGGGCGCGCACCAGGGCTCAGGGCTCCGGTCGTCTGTTTCTGGCCCTGCTCTTGCCTCTCTGAGCCTCTTCCGGACGCGTTCCGAGTCTGACTGTGGAGTCATTAATGAGAAACATGAAGTTATTAGAATCATTTATCATTTTCTTTGAAGTTTGCGCTGCCATTCTGGGTGATTTGCATGTCTTTTACGGGGGGAGGGGGAGATGGTTCTTTTTTTGGGGGGGGCAGTGACAAAGCAAAGCCGCTGTTCACCTTCAGCCTGAGAGTCCGGCCCTGCCCAGCCTCGTGCTGTGGACACTGCACCTCTCGCAGAGCCGGGCTAGGCAGGCCAGTGCGGGGGTCCCGGGAGGGGCCAGAGAGCTGTGCCCAGAAGCTGGAGGCCGCACTTCGCTGTCCGGGGGTCGGCTGGGCCGGCTGGGTGGCGGGCTGCCGTGCCGGGGCTGCGGTTGAAAGCGAAAGAGGCATCTCCCCTGCACCTCTGCATGTGGTCACCGTGCCGGTGGGTGTCTGGTCAAGGCAGGGGTGAAGGCTGGCCACTCACTCCCCCAGCTGGCGGGGCAGGGGGTGAGTCTGAGGGTCTGTGGTGCCCCCCCCCCCAACCTCCCCGCTGGAAGTGACCTGGGGGCGGCCACAGGAGGGGGGCCTCGAGGGGCCTCGCACCCCGGTTCCCGCCGGCCCCTCGCTCCCGACTCTTCTCCCACCGTGGCGTCCGTCCCGCGAGGCGGTCTGCGTGTCCTTGAGTGGGCTCTCGTTACCCGGAGAGCTTCTTTAAGCATCGATTTCATAACCGTCTTAATTTAATGGCCCCGTCATTACCGAGAAGCTCTGGGAGGGGTCCCCTGCTTTCCAGGTCACTGACCTTTTAATTACAAGCCGTGTTCCGGCGGGCAGGGCACTGACCGGGCAGCTCCCAGCGTGTGCCCGGGATGGGGACGAAAATGACCGTTTCCTCCCCCGTCTTCAGGAAAAAAAAAAAAAGATGTCACCTCATGTGTTTCTCAAATTAATTTTCTTCCTCAGCTCTATTTCATAATTAATTCTTTAGCGTGTCGCCGTGGATCAGCTGCCTTCTCAGAACGCGCGTGGTGTCCCTGCCCACCCTCCCCGCCCGGGAGCTCGGGCTGGTGGATGGCGGTGGGAGGCGGGGGCTGGACGCGGGGGGACGAGGGTCCGGCCTGGCTGTGGAGGGCCCCGCCTCTGCCCCCGGGTGGCGCCCGTCCCTGCCCCATCGCCCGCTTTCCTGGTGCTCCCCACCTCCGTGCCCGCCTCCGGGCTGGGCTGCGGGGGTCAGGCTGAGGGCAGCGCCCGCGCCCAGTCTGGGTCCCTCCTCTTGGCCGGGAGAGGACGCAGGAACAGAAGGGACAGTGGCCGAGAGGGTCCCCTTTGGCCTGGCTGTCCGGTTTGCCTCTGGAGCTCCTGGCCCTGGGCAGCCCCCCAGAGAGACCCAGGGCAGGGCAGCCCATCCCGGTCCCACGGGCTGGTCACGCAGCGGCCAGTGCCTGTGGGGAGGGCGGCGCCGGGCCGGCGTGCCGGGCCGCGTGGCCGCCACGAGCCGTCCTGGCGATGATTGAGGACCTGCATCCATCTGCCGCGCGGCCCCTCCCTCCCGCCCGGCTGCCATCTGCCGCGCTGTTCCCCGCTGCTCCGGACCCGCGATCCATCACGCTGACGGCCGCGGGGTCTCCCCCTCGCCCGCCAAACGGTCTGGACGCGTCATGGGGGTCTCGGGGCCCGCGCGCGGGGCAGCCGGGAGGGGGGCTCGGAGAGGGTCCTTGGCACCAGCCCTGAGTGCGGCGGCCGTGCTCTCCGGGATGGCAGTGCAGAAGCCACCGCGGAGAAGTCTCCAGACCTGCCTGTCGAACGGATGTTCCTCCCTCCCCCCCCACCCCCAAACACCCTCCTGTAAGAACAGCGGCGGGATGGCGAGTGTGAGCACCGGTTCCCTGCCGGGCACTGCCAGGGCTCGCCCCTGAGCACTGGGCCCTGAGTACTGGCAGGCATGGCCTCACGAATGAATCCCACGAATCAATCTGGTAGCTGCAGCTGGTGTGGTCGGGCACCAGGGCTGCCCCTCGCAGGTGGAGCTGCGGGTGGAGCCGCATGGTGCCGTGTGCCGTGTCCAGGCACGCGGCGGTCAGGCAGGGCACTTCCTGCTTGACTGCTGGACACCGTGTCCCTCCCTTGCCCGAGTGTGCAGGGCCGAAGGGCTGAGAAGGAAGGATGGTGTGACCCGTCCTGGTGGTGGCGACTGTCCAAGAGGAACCTCTTTGGGCCTGTTTTGGAAGGAATCCGAGCTTGTAGATTTGACTTTCGGTGTGTTTTGGGGCCACACCTGGCAGGGTGCCAGGGATGACTCTTGGCCCAGAGATCAGGGTCACAGCGAGTCCCTTCCCTTTGGTCCTCTGGATGTGGCTGGGGGCATTCGGTAGACGGGCAGCTGCCGGGTGCATCCGTGGTGTCTGGGCTTTTGGCCCCTCTCCTTGGTGCTGGTAGGGTGCAGAGCCTCCAGGGAAGGGAAGGGGCTGCACCCAGGCCGAGGGGTTCTTTGGGAGTGGGGGAAGAAGCACCAGGACGTCCCCGTGTCCCGTGCGTAGCCCTGGCTCAGTTCAACATCGCCAAAACCAGCCTGGGGGAGACAGGCCGCTTTCCAAAGCAGCTTTGCCTCCCTCCTTCCCTCCCTCCCTCTCTCCTTCCTTCCTTCTTCCCTCCCTCCCTCTCTCCCTCCCTCTTCCTTCTTCCCTTCCTCTCCCTCC